TCCACCGCACAGGAGCCTGGGCTCTCTCTGGTGGCTCCTTGCCTTCTGTCGCCAACTCCAGGGCACAGGGTGGGACCCTGACGATGCCCTGTCAGCCTGCAGACGGCAACACCCCACATCAGGACAGCGTGGGGCATGGTTTCAGGACAGGCCACAGGGGTTGGAGCCCAGGGAGGTGGGCTGGGGGATGTCCGGAGGCCTGCTCTGCTCACCACCAGGTGCTCTCGGCTGCGGGAATGAAGGTGGAAGTGTGTCAGGGTCCGGGTGAGGGCGTCTCTCAAGTCTCAGCCACGTCCAGGGGCTGGTGCAGGACACGCCGTGATCTCTGTGAGCGGCGCTCGTGGGTGGTGCCACCCAGGAGCACTCTGCGAGGCCGGCAGGGTGGGCAGAGGCCTGTGGGAGGACGTCACCTCTGCTCAGCACAGGCAGGGGCTCTGAAGTCATGGTGACGGAGGAAGTGTCCATCAAGGTCCCTCTGGCTGCTGTGGGGACCACACTGTGTGGGGCAAGGGCAGAGCCACGAGTGAGGGTGGAGGCTGCTGGGAAGACCCCAGGCTGGGGACTCGTGGTGGCAGGTAGGGGGAGTTGGCCACTGTGAGATCACTGAGCCACCCCCTCCTGCCCTGCAGGACGTGGGAGGAGCCCGCAGTTTCCCTTCCTTCTCTCAGGCATTTGCTTTTCCATCTGGGGTTCATGGAGCGCCCAGACGGACCCAACCAGGCGCCACCCAGCTCCCCTTCATTGGTGGCTCCTCAGGGCCGACCTACCCCATCCATGACCTCCCAGGCTCCTGTCTCCCTGCTCAGCTCCATCACAGCCCAGCTGCCCCCCACCACAGCCCAGCTGCCCCCCACCACAGGCATCTCACCTCTAGCCCTCCACCTGTCGCTCCCCATGTCAAAACCCCCACTGCTGGGCGGGGCTGGGCTGGGGCTCAGTGGCAGAGCTTGTGTGAGGCACTGGGTTCGATTCTCAGCACCATATATAAATAAATAAAATGAAGGTTAAAAAAAAAAAAAACACTGCTGCCTTTTTAATCAACCTAACTCCTGCTTCTCCTTTGGGGCTCAGATCAGGTGTCACTCCTCCAGGAAGCCCTCCGGACTGGTCCCAGTCTGACTTGGGTGTTTTTTTCTGTACATGTATTGGCCCTTCCAATGACCCCACCCGTAGCACTGTGACACCTATTAACGGCCTGTTCCCTTCCTGGGCTGTGTGTCTGGATCTGTGACTTGTCCTACGTTCCTACCACTCGCACTGAGAGAATGTCTTGAAGAGTTGAACGAAAGAATGAATGAAGGGTGCCGTGCCCTTGTTGGGTGCCTGACTGTGGTCACGAACAAGGGACAGGCCCACTGCAAAGCCACGGGACAGGGGAAATCAGGAAGTGGTTTTGTCAACTAAGAATGGATGTTCAGGAAAGAGGGCCAAGAGGTAGCCAGGAAGTGGGGGTGTCGGGGTTGCCAGTAGAGTTTGTGGGGTCAGAAAGCCCTGGGTTCAAATCCAGCACAGCCACTCATTAGCCCTGTGACTGTGGGCTCAGCTTCTCAGGAAATGAGGGCAACACCTCCCCCAGAGAGAATGCAGCCCGTGTTTGGCTCACAGAAAACACTGGAGAAACATGCTGACCATTCTGATTTGCTAACATAAAGGCGGGTCAGAAAGTTCTGTGAGGACATGCCACACCCCACCCACTCCCTCTGCCCTACTTCAAACCTGCCACCTTGGAAACCAAATGAATGCAAAAGCCCAGAAGGAAGGACTGGCATCTACATTACACCAGAGGACAAACTCCTCGGGGCTAAATCTTAGCCTCTAGGATAGTGTCTGGTACAGAGTAGGTCCTCTGTAAATATTTGGTTTTCCTCTTGTTGCAGGGGACTGGACCCAGGGCCTGACACATGCTAAGCACGTGCTCTTCCACTGAGCTACAGCCCGATGAATTGAGTATTCCATGAATGAATGAATAAATAACTGTCTGTTGCCCAAGTCCAGTGTGGGCTACTGACCGAGGTCACTTGGGTGAATTTGAGGTGACACAAAATGTGAGGCACTGGGTTCGATACGGAATACCTTTTTCTGGGTGTCAGGACGGCTTCCCCAGCTCCCAGCCTCAGGCTCCCACAAAGGGGCAAGAGAAAAGCAAGAGGCTGGTGTGGGGGGGCACATTCTGAGGCTCAGCTTTTATTTCTAGGGGGAGCGAATCCATGGAACATTCTATCCAAAAAAGGGCAAAAGGGTAGGATTACAACAAACAGGTGGCGTAATCCAACTCCATGGGGTGACGCCCACTCGCAGAGCCGCTTTCTTAGGAGCAGAGGGTGCACGGCCAGTCCAGCACCTCTTTGCTCAGGACTTCAAGGTGTGTACAGAGCTCCTGTCCAGGGCGGCCCCCGACAAACTGCGTTCTGGTTTGGCTAACTTGGTGTATGCAGGTGACCCCTCCCCTTCCTTAGGCCCAGGTTGGTCCTCCAAAATCTCCAGCTGAGCATGATCCATCAGCAAGGCATGCACAGCCACAAACAGGTGAAAGGATGACTCTGCCTCCGGCCACAGAAGCTGGGGTAGGCACCCCAAGCTGTGTGTCAGCTCAGTGATGCCATCAAGGACCCAGGCTCCGTCTGTCCCCTGCTCCAGCCATCTTGTCATGTGACTTTTACTCTCGTGATCCCAAGGTAGCTGCTGGACTTCGTCGAGCTATGGTCTCTCCATTCCAGATTGGAAACGATGGGAAAGGGGAAAAGGTGTAAGAAAGGGCCAGACAGGTCAGGACTTCAGAAAACACGTTCAGGCATTTTGTTATAAAAAAATAGGAGAGAATGGATCCCGGGAGGGCACAGCAAGGGCTGCCATGGTGGCCACATGGACCCATTGCCTCTCTCCACCTCACGCCCACGCTAGTTCCTTCTCCTGGCTCGTTCGTTTGCCTAGACTGCACCGCCACTCACTTGGCTGCCCAGGGGTAAAGCCCAGGAGTCGTCCCCACCTCGAGGCTCACCTCCAGCACACTGGCACCCCACTGTCCAGGTCGCCAGCATCTCTCTTCTGCACTCCTGCTCCCCTGACCACACTGCCCTTCCTCCTCACAATGGCTGCAGGATGGGGGAGGGGTTACCTGCGTACACCAAGTTAGCAAACCAGAACCACTCATCTCTTCTTCCAGTGTCTGTTCATTCAATGTCTTACACACATCACTCCGTCTTAGAAGTGCCCTAAAGCTCCCCATCACACACAGACTATACCACAAACCCCTCACCCTGGCCCACAGGTTGCAGGGCTGGACCCTGACCACGCCCCTCCCTGCAGGGATGTGCTGGCCCACCTACCCAGTCACGTGGGGTGGGCACTGGGAATCAAACCCAGGGGCACTCTACCACTGAGCTACATCCCCAGCCCTATTTATTCATTAATTTACTTAGTTTTTATTTTGAGACAGGCGTAAGTTGTTCCGTGATCCTCCTGTCTCAGCCTCCTGAGTAACTGGCATTACAGGTGTGCACCACCACACACCGTTCAGTTGGGCATTGTGTGCTCCTTCCTCACACCTACCAGCTCCTGCCTTTGGACCTTTGCAATGGTTATCACCTCTGCCAGGAACACACTGGCCCTGCCCTCTCATCTGTAGAGGCCCACCCCTGTCAGTGACCACCTATTACATCACTCCTTTTCTTCTTGCCCATAACAGTCACCGTCATTTTTTTTTTTTTTTAATTACTGGAGACTGAAACCAGGGATCCAGACCATTTTATTTTTTAAGACAGTCCTCCTATCTCAACCTCCCGAGTTGCAGGGATGACAGGTGTGTAGTACTGTGTGACAGGTGTGTAGCTCCGTGCCTGGCCACCACATCTATCTTCTCTACAGAATGTAAACTCATGAAGGAGGGCAGAGGTCTTGCCTGTCTCATCCACAGCTACATCACCAGGGCCTAATACTGTGCCTGGCATGTAAGAGGGCTCCATGTTTTTGTTCAATGAATGTTTGTATGCAGGGACCTATTTTGGGTAGTCTCTTAAGATATCTTTTAGCTCATTTAAAGAGAAAGGCAATGGGGGCAAGAGATATGCATATTAAAAACCAGGACCAGTAGGTGGAACCAGCCATCATTCCAAACCCTAACTGCCCAGGTGATCCTGCTTGTGGGAGCATCTCTGAGGGCAGAGTCATAAATCATTTAGAAAATCAGGAAGGATGGGCTGGGGATATAGCTCAGTTGGTAGAATGTTTGCCTTCCATGCATAAGGCCCTGGGTTCAATCACAGCATCACACACAAAAAAAAAAAAAATCAGGAAAGAGGAAGTGAACACAGGCACCTGCATATTTGACCCCCTGAATTTAGGCCAGAAAAGGATCTGGCCCTCTGGGAAATGGCCTGGAGAGAGCAGATTACTGGCTCTGCCACAAACTGTCTATGAGTATGTGACCTAGTTCTCTTGATTCCTCATCTATAAATGAGATATTCATTTAAGGGTTCAACAAAATAAAATATTTAAAATGTTTATATAATATATGGAAAACGGTGGAGCTCAAAAATCCTTAGCCATAAGAAAGGAAAAGAGAAACAGGTGTGAGCAAACACAGGGAGGTGACACCAAAGCAGGCAGCCTCCTCATCCAGGGGAGGCCAGGTCAGACGTACGTGCTGGGAGTTTGGCCCTCTCAGAAAAGACACAGAGATTGAGAGCCTCCAAACGTCAGCATTTCCTCCCCAAAAGGGACTTTTTAGTTCTTCTGGCGCAATCCTGACATTTTACAAACACTTTGCATCCCAGAAAGAACAAAGACAGCCAGAGAGCTGGCAGAAAAGTATGGAGAGAAGTCCACTTGGGAGGAGAGATGCTCAGGGACTGTGTCCCCTGTTCCTCTGTCTGCCACTCCCAAGGCGGGGAAATAGCAGGTTGAGAAGCCCATGGAACCCAGGGAGGGATCACTGGGAGGGAGGGGCCAGGCCCTGGGTGGTGCTTCATTACACCCAGCACCAGCCTGTAGGGATTATCCCCAGGTTACAGAGGATTCCCTCGGCCCCTACAGAGCCACTAGAGCCAGAACTGAATCCCATTCTGTGTGATTCCAAAAACTGCTGCCCTGCTTCAGCCTGGGAATTGAAACCATCACTTAACTGACCCTGATGTTGGCCAAATCTTTTCTCTGACCTCAGGTACCTCCTCTAAATAGAAGGGTGGGATCTACCAAGCCCTATGGGCTGGTGCAGACATTCTTGAAATTCAAAACAAACAGGCCTCCCAGCTGAGTCAGCAGACAGGCCTGCAGGCCTCTGGACAGACACCCTCGCAGCCTCTCATGAAGGCTTTGGGCCCAGACGCCCAGAACAGCCCTCACAGGGGAGCCCCTGAGTCCTGCCCCAGCCCCAAACTGAGCAATGCCTAACAGGTCTCCTCCAAGGATGTTGCTCATCTGTCCACTCCTGTGGCCTTCAGCCCACTCCATTCTCTGGGGACAACCTCCATGCAGCAGTTTGAGGAAATGAAGTCAAGCAATGCAATCAAACCCTTCAATTAGGGCTGTCTCTTAAATATTTGAGGTTTTGGGAAACCCCAGGTCAAGTGCTTTTCAAACTGAATTAAAACAATGTGTGTGTGTGTGTGTGTGTGTGTTTAATATTATTGCAGTGGTAGCTGGACACAATATTTTATTTATTTTTATGTGGTGCTTCACGCATGCTAGGCAAGCTCTCTACCGCTAAGCCACTATCCCAGCCCCTAAAACAATGTTTTTAAGCTTGAACATAACTTTTGTAAAACTTTTTAAAAAATAGTGGTGATGATTATATTGTGAGTGTAGCTAATGTCACTGAATTGTACACTTAAAATGGTTAAACGTTCGTTTATATTATGTATACTTAACCATAATTTTTTTTAAAAAAAATATATAAAAAATGAAAAAGAAAAAGATGTCAAATACCAGCCTCCACTTTAATAGTATTCAACAGACCTTGTGAAATTACTACAGAAGTTTTTATTTGTCAGGGGCTACAAAAAGAAGCTCCCTTTGTGAACTGTGTGGCCGTTACATTTTGCGGTTACTTATCTTCCTGGAACATCTTGAAGCTGTCTCGCCTTGTGCAAACACCCTGCAGTAGTGACTGCACCACCCACGCCCCCGAAGAGAAACTTCCCGCCTGACTTCCCTATCCCCAGCATATAAATACCCCAGTGAGAACAGTAAAAATTTGCAGCTTGATCAGAACTCCTGTCTTGCTGTCACTCCTCATGTCTCTTGTCCCTTCATTCCTTCCCGCCTAGGTTTGCCACCCTCGTTGATGTCCTGCAGGTCGGGACATTTGGCGCCCAGCGTGTGCTCGAGCCTTTGACTGAGGGGGGAACGCCGTCCTCCGGGGAGACTTGGCCAAGCGGAGTTCGCGATCGCCTCGGCAGACACCACTGAGAGACAGATCCAGGAGGAGAGTGGGGACGTCGCATGGTGAGTGACCCACCATGGGACAAGCAGTCTCGTCACATGATTTGTTTTTGTCAGGCCTCAAGGAGGCCCTCAAGACACGGGGGGGCGCGTGTTAAGAAAAAGGACTTAAAATTATTCTTTTCATACATAGAAGATTTGTGTCCATAGTTTCCCCTTGAAGGGACCATTGATGGTAAAAGATGGCTTAGAGTAGGAGATTGTTTAAAAGATTATTATGAATCCTTTGGCCCAGAAAAGGTGCCTGTTACTACCTTTTCTTACTGGAACTTAATTAATGAAATTCTTAAAAGTTCACCCTTTGACAATGGTACCTTAAAACTTGTTAGGATTGGGGAAGAGGCTATGCAAAAGACCTCTCGTCCCCCCTCAGCATGCCCTTCAGTTAGTATAGACATAGATCCTTCTCAGTCTCCCCAGGACCCTGGGAACCTTCCTGGTCCCCCTCAAAATCCCACCCTAATAAATAAGGCCCCAAAGGTTGCCAACCACCTTTATCCAGTTTTAAATCCCGGAGACACATTGACTGACCCCTGAGGAGGAGGCTACCTTGGAGGAGGAAGCAGCTCGCTACCATTCAAAAGACCCGCCACCTCTCAGGACCCTGCCACAGCCTATAGGACTTACAAATCCACCTCCCTCCTATATCCCTCCTGCCTTTTGTGCTCCGGCCCTCCAGGGGCCTACTGCCCCCCCCCCCCCAGATATTTTTTCTCCACTTCCCTTACCTAACCTGGCTCCCTTGCGAGAGTCTCTCCAACATAGATGGGAACAGATCCAACTTTTAAAAGAATTAAAATCCCTTGACTCTGAGCTTAGCCTTAGGCATGGAGTCAACCCTAGCTGGCCCAAGGCGGTCTAATACAAAAGGCATTATTTTTAGAACCACACACGCCAAACAAAACAGCCTCTCAGGAAAAACCCTCAGAGCCTCAACTGCCACCACGGGCTTTCCACAAGCCTCTCTCTCCCACACAAGCTTCTCTCCACCTCCCACAATCCTCCTGCTCTTGAGGCCGATTGGCTGGGTCACGTGGTCGGAGCCAAAAAAGTCCCCCAATGAGCAGCTCCGTGGTCTGAAAGGGCAGGGAAACAGCCCAATGAGCATCACCGCAGAGGAGCCAATCAGCTAGATGTTGCTGGGGCCGCTGTGAGCCAATCATCAGCCAGCAGCTGGAAGTTTGCTGGGGCCCCTTCGCCTGTGGCTCTCAACAGTAAGCCACGCCATCAGCCTGTTCTCGCCTTCCCAGTCACCCGCAGTCAGGCAGATAAGCCCGCCCAGACTGAGGACAAGGACTTAGAGGAGGATGAAGAGGAGGAAGCCGGGGGAAGGACAAGAGGAAGACCAAGACTCAGAGGATGAGGAGCCCACCTCTAGGCAGGAAGGAACCCAGGGTGCCTACAAGAAATTAAGCCTGAGTTTTCTTGAAAAACTTAAAAAGGCTTGTGCTCACTATGGCCCCACTGCGCCTTATACGTTGGCCTTATTAGAAAGCCAAAGTGCGCAGTGGCTTACTCCTAATGATTGGAAATTCTTGGCTCGAGCTACCCTCAGTGCTGGAGACTTCCTGTTATGGAATGCAGATTTTAAAGAGCACTGTCGGGGGGCTGGGGATGTGGCTCAAGCAGTAGCATGCTCGCCTGGCATGCGTGCAGCCTGGGTTCGATCCTCAGCACCACATACTAACAAAGATGTGTTGTGTCCGCCGATAACTAAAAAATAAAAAATATTAAAGTTCTTTCTTTCAAAAAAAAAAAGAGCACTGTCGGGAAACTGCTCAAAAAAAATTTAACAAAGGCCTCCTCTAAATCCTGGACTTATGTTAAGCTAGTGGGCAATGCGCCTTTTGACACTAACCCTAAACAGGCGCGTTTCCCTGCTGGACTTTTGGCGCAGATTCAGACGGTTGGCTTACATGCTTGGAGACGCCTCCCTCAAAAGGGCTCGGCCACCACTTCCCTGGCAAAAATTCGACAAGGGCCTGACGAGCCTTATGGTGACTTTGTTGCACGGCTCAACCTAGCCGCGGAACGCCTGCTTGGACCAAGCGAAAGCAAAAGCACCTTTGTAAAACATCTTGCCTTTGAAAATGCCAACCCGGCATGTCAGGATGTTCTTCGACCACATAAGGATAAAGGGGAACTTTCTGACTTTATTAGACTCTGTGCCGGGGTGGGAGCAGCCCATGCCATGGGTCTCGCCATAGGTGCTGCCTTTACCAAGGCCTTTCGCAATCCTGGCTCACGTACTTGCTTTACTTGTAAGCAACCTGGCCATTTTGCACGCGAGTGTCCAACAGGCAAACAGAGCCTAGGGATAACGTCTCCTCAAACTGGAGCTAAACCACCTCCAACCACCCTTTGCCCTAGATGTGGTAAAGGTCGTCACTGGGCCAATGAGTGTAGATCTAAGACAAATGCCCTTGGACAGCCTATTTCTTCCCGCTTCTCGGGAAACTCCTTTCGGGGCCAGCCCCTGGCCCCGACCTCCCCCAAGACAAACCCAGGGGCAATAAGGTTTGTTCCCTCCCAAACTCCCAACCTACCTCAAAATCCTCCTCCACAATTGCCTCCCTCCAACGAGCCACCCCAGGCAGCGCAGGACTGGACCTCTGTGCCGCCACCAATACAATGTTAGACTTCATGCAAGGGCCCCAAATAATACCTACTGGGATTATGGGTCCCTCTCCATCTCATATGTGTGCCCTTATTCTTGGAAGAGCCTCTGCTACCTTACAAGGTGTTCAGGTCTTCCCTGGCATTATTGATAATGATTTCACTGGAGAGATACAAATACTAGCCACAGCTATTAATGGAGTTGCAGCCATCCCAGCAGGAACAAGAGTTGCACAATTAATACTCCTTCCCCTAAACTCAGGAGGCACTTCCACCACCCAGACCCTACCTCGGGGGACTGCCTCCTTGGGCTCCTCTGATGTGTATTGGGTTCAGCCTATTTCTCACAATAGACCCACTCTTACCCTACTTATTGAAGGAAAGGAATTCCAAGGAATCCTAGACACTGGTGCGGATGCCAGTTATCTCTCAAAAACACTGGCCATCAGGTTGGCCCCTCACCTCATCTTTGACTGACCTTAAAGGAATTAGGACAGTCAAAAAATCCTCTAGTCAGCTCTAGGACTCTTAATTGGGCTGATGAAGAAGGCAATAAGGTAATGGTCACTCCTTTCGTTGTTCCTGACCTTCCTGTTAACCTATGGGGCCGAGATATTTTGAGTCAAATGGAAGTTATTCTTGCCAGCCCCAACTCCCTAGTGACTCATCAAATGCTTCGTATGGATTTTGTCCCTGGTACTGGCCTTGGGAGACTGAGACAAGGATTAGTTGAATCCATACCACCCACACAAAAAACAGATAAACATGGACTTGGGTATTCGGATTTTTAGTGACCCTCCTGTACCTCCTGTACCCCATGCAGACAAGATCATTTGGGAAACTCAGACTCCTGTGTGGATGGATCAGTGGCCCCTTACCCAAGAAAAATTGGAGGCTGCCTCTATGTTAGTACAGGAACAGCTGGCAGCTGGCCATGTAGAACCCTCAACTTTACCATGGAATACTCCTATTTTTGTTATTAAGAAAAAATCAGGCAAATGGCGCCTGTTACAAGATTTGCGCGCCATTAATAAAGTTATGCGTCCAATGGGAGCCCTACAACCAGGCATTCCTACACCAGTGGCTATTCCCAAAAACTATTGCAAAATGGTTATTGACCTAAAAGATTGCTTTTTTACCATTCCTTTACATCCCGAGGATAGACCCTATTTTGCCTTTAGTCTCCCTCGCATTAATTTTCAGGGCCCTATGCAGAGATTTCAATGGAAGGTTCTTCCCCAAGGTATGGCCAACAGCCCTAGTCTTTGCCAAAAATATGTCACTCAAGCAGTAGACCCTGTGAGAGAGCAATGGCCACAAATTTATATTTTACATTATATGGATGATTTGTTAATTGCTGCACCTAATACCCATGATCTTAATAGTTGTTACTTGGACCTTTACAAAGCTCTCACTGCCTTGGGACTACAGATAGCTCCTGACAAGGTTCAAATACAGGACCTTATACCTATTTGGGCCTTAAACTTCAAGATAATCAGATCCAAATTCCTAAAATACAACTACCTGTGGACCATCTTCACACCCTTAATGATTTTCAAAAATTACTGGGGGATATTCAATGGCTAAGACCATATTTAAAATTACCCACTTGTGTACTTTTTCCCCTTAATGATATCTTGAGAGGCGATTCCCACCCCTCCTCCCCTCGGAAGCTTACTCCCGAGGCACGACAGACATTAAACCAAATCACAGAAGCCATTGCCCAACAGTTTGTTACGCAAATTTCTTATAACCTTCCTTTGGTTTTGGTTATTTTACACACTCCTCATACACCCACAGGAATATTCTGGCAGCGGGATCCACATTTTAAAAATGAAGGCTGGGGGCTGGGGATGTGGCTCAAGCGGTAGCGCGCTCGCCTGGCATGCGTGCGGCCCAGGTTCGATCCTCAGCACCACATACAAAGATGTTGTGTCCGCTGAAAACTAAAAAATAAATATTAAAAATTCTCTCTCTCTCTTAAAAAATAAAGAAATAAACCCTATTATTAAAAAAAAATAAAAATAAAAATAAAGGCTGCCCCTTGCTTTGGGTCCATTTACCCACCACATCCTCCAAGGTTATTACTGTTTATCCTGCTCAGGTAGCTTCTATTATTATTAAAGGTCGCTTGCTCTCTCAACAACATTTTGGCAAAGACCCTGATAGTATTTTAATTCCATACACTAAGGACCAAACCCAATTTTTATTACAGACAGGGGATGAATGGGGTATTGCCCTATCAGGCTTTTTGGGAACAATTGATAACCACCTCCCCAATGACCCCCTTTTACATTTTGCCCAATTACATCCATTTATTTTTCCCAGAATTACTCAAAAAGCTCCCATTCCTCAAGCCCTTACCGTCTTTATTTTTATTTATTTTT